AGACCAGTTTGGTAGGCTGAAGGTTGAAATTATTAAGCCCTTGCACTCCCTGCAGTCCTGGTTTAAAAAAATTAGGATGCAGAGACAGGATAAGGTGACACGAAGGCACCAAAGTCCTTCCCCCGTCCCCCGTTGTTTTTTTCCTTTTTCTGTACAGGTTCATGCTTTCAAGGTTCCATCATTTTGTATACAGTATATAAAATAAACAAACTTTCAAACTTACCTTTCATCATTAACAAAAGTTTCGATTCCATCATTATCTGTAGCGATACCCAGACATACAACAACTATGATTGCAGGCAGTCCTAAAGAAAGTAATAACGAAAATAGGTTATTACGCGATTATATGAATTTCCAATCTGTATTTTTATGTTGTTAGTCATGAAACATGTTGATGGTGAGTATGAAATTACTAATACACCGTGAATTAGAAAAGCTGCGTGATTTCAGCCAACTACATCTGCAAGCATGTCTAGGTCTAATGAGCACCGGAAATATTTTAAGATTGACAAAGGTACACGTCAAGACAATCCAATGGTTTTCAAAAACTGCGCATGTTCATTTAAAGAATTAAAAAATGAAGCCATTTTAAGAAAGTTTATTCGTATCGGTTTTAGCCAATCACAATCAAGATATTTTGTCAAGTACATTCTTTAAGAGCTATCTCGTTTTTTAACATATTCCTCACCCCAGCAAAAACCATGATAGCGATACTTTTTGTCGGTAATGTTGTAAACCTTTACAACAAATAGATAGATATAAATCCCCTCGACAAGCATCCAGCAAAAACTGGCCATCAGGAAATACTGCATAAGAGCTACCACAGCTACACAGGCAGCCTGCAAGGAAAAGGTTATCCGTAAAAATGTAATGATTCGCCCGTTAAATGTTATTTTTCAAAATAGTAATCCAAAAAACAGAAAGAAACAAAACCAAACAAAACAGAACGAAAATAGTAAGAAAACAGACAAAAATTGCAACATACGTAGAAAATATGCCAACAAAAAAAAAAAAAAGCAAAAATATCCAAAGAACAGTCAGTATTTAAATCAAGAAGAAGCTAGATCTATTAAAAAACAAACAAACAAATAAACTAACAAATCAGAAGAACAGCAGCATCAACTAAACAACACGAAAGTAGGAGTTCAAAGAGTCACCTGGTTTCCCGTGGAGTCAATTCCAGCGTAAAAGATGATATGTCCTGCTCCTATGCAGGAAGTCAGACTAACCCGTATGTGACACAAAGCTGAATTTCTGTCTCTGCAAAGAAGCCAAAAAATAGTAACGAAATGAAATTCATTTAGCAGTCAAGAAAAATCAAAGCTAACGGCAATGAATGGCAAAGGAAACCATCTAAAAGATAATTGTAAATCATTCACCAAATGGAGGAATAAATACACTGACATAATACATGTTGCATTAATTGATTAGTGAATAACGAATGGATAAAAGAATAGTGACTTGAAAGTTTCCATTTTATGGTTACGTTTATTTGAAGCAATTTTCACTCGTTGCCGAAATATCATTTTTAAAGAGAGATCATCTCAGGACGTTTGATTTCTTTTCCAGGTATGAGCAGTCCGTTTTGACATCGATGTAGAAC